CTGCTGAGGAGTGCCACAATATAACAAGTTGATCGTCCTGTGCTTCCAGGTTTTCCATGGTGGCCTAGCTTTAATTGACTCATGATCTCAACTATGTAAAAATTACTAAAATCTCCACAAAACCCCTTTCTGATAGTATATCTATCAATCAATTCATTATAAGTTGATAAGTTACAATTGTTGTCATAGAAAATTTATTGAAATGAGGAATTTCTGTGAATCACATCGGTTTATCAACTTATCCAATATGACAATGAATAATATAATAATTTTAATAAAATTTCAGAATACATTTACTAAGTTAAATATATTAAAGTGACTTTAAATAAATTACTAAGATCTTTACAAAACCACCCTACTGATAATAATGATCATCAGCTCATTAGTGACTAGCTTCAAGATGGAATTCTAGTGAGAAGCAGTGACTTGTGGAGTTCAACTAGGTCTGTTGTGAGATAGTAACTCACTGAAGACTGGTGGATGGTGGCGCAGTTTCGTGGATTGGTTGAAGTTAGAGATTAGGACTGTTGGATGTGGGCTCAGTGGTCTAAAGGTTAAGCGTTGCCGCGTGAATCTTAAGGTCCCTAATTTCAGTCGCACGTGTAGGATCGTCCATACGTACTGCTCACCAGTTCGATACTACGACCAAACGGCAGTGCACTACTTCCAGCTTCTCAATCCTGCTCTAAAATTCATCCACCATTGATGATATCAATCTGAACTGAACAATCTCCACAACACTATACTGATTATTATCATATGCTCACTAGTGACTGGTTTCCAGATGGATTTGTTGGAGTTGTAGTGAGAATCCGTGACTAGTGCAGTTGAACCGTGTCTGTTCTGAGGCAGTTACTGACTGAAGACAATGATGAATGGTGGCGCAATTTCGTGGATTGGTTGAAGTGAGGCGTGGACACCATTGGATGCCGGCTCCATGTTTTATAAGTTAAGCGTCCACGCGCAAGACCTATAGGTCCTGAGTCCGAGTCCTGCGAGCAGACTTTTGGATACGCACTATCAAGGAGTCCCATACTAGGACGAAACGATCGTCCAATACTTTCAGGTTTTCAATGGTGGTCTAGCTTTAAATAACTCATGAATTCAACTGTTAAATGGCTATAAATAATTAACACATGTAATCATATGCTCTTTTAATTGCATAATAAGGTCAACTAATAATAATAATTAATTAAATATTTTTTTAATAGATGAGGTTAACTCAACTGAAACTCAATGAATATTCAACGGCATGTTTACACGATAAATAATCATGATTTGATTTATAAATCTGATAATTAGACAAATGACTTAACTGTTGCACTCATAGTTCTTATTGAATATCTTTTTCAGAGATGAGAATTATGTTAGTTTAGATACTTTCAAATAAGGAACAGATACCATGTATACGGTTAAATGAAGTTTCAGTTTAAGCAAAGATGGATAGTGGCTAGCAGTGGAATACAGGACGCTGGTTTCGTCCTATTTGAGACTCATCAGCTGGACGCACCTGCATTTCAGAGTTGATGTTCATTCTGCGACTCAAACCCAGTACCTTTCACTTCAAATGTCATCGCGTTATCCACTCAGCTGAGTCCTGATAGCCACTTGTTTGTGCAATGGGGTGAAGTTTGAATTCACTGTTTAAATTCCACTGCTAGCAACTATCCATCTTTGCTTAGAATGCTTGTGAATCAAGGCTATATCGAGGCAATACGCGCAGTATACATATATGCCAATTAGAGACTGAATATTTGCCGTCCTAAACATCAATGGGAAGATTCAAACAAACAATACCACGGGAAGTTTTAGTTGTTGGTGATTCATTGAAAAATTGAATAGTAAGCTGGAAATTTCATGTTTATGTTTTATAACTACTCTTTATAATCAGTTCTAGGTACATTAACTTGTGTAATAAAGAACCACCCAATCAAGTAATGAAATCCATTTTGAAATCAATAAATTGAATATTATGTGACCTTAAACTTGAATTTCATGACCTTCTCGGGTAGAATAGACAAAAAAATAACTTTTAAAAGCTACTTTTGTAGTGAAAACAAAATAATGACCAATATTAAATTCACTTAGTATTGTTTGTTTGAATCTTCCCATCGATGTGTTAGGACTGCAACTGGTCCATCTCTTCTTACAATGACCAATACTTATATGTAAACAGTCTTGATGTTTCAATGATGAGAAAAAAAAGTGATATATAAATCACGTCAAGTAGTAGATGTCTACTGGAATTGAACTACAGTTATAACACAGGTGGAGATAACGAGAACTACGGAGTATCTTGGTAAAAAGTGAAAACCATACATTAAAAATGTCATTTGCAAATCACCATCGTTTGTCTATCGTACTCTGTATGATTCTTCCGATTCACGACTTATTTGTAAACCTGTTTCTGTTTCCGTCAAATATACCTTCATAGCCTCCTGCTGCCAGGTATTCTACATCCAATTGGCGTTATATACTACTTATGTTGATAGATATAAGTAGCATTCACCATATAGTCATTACAACTTTATATCTATCCCTTTTAAGAAAGAAGACTAATGCTATCTAGATTTTTAGACCGAAAAATAAAAATTACATTCCAATTCTCAAAAAGCACTCCCTTCAACGTCATATTAAGTGAGGTAGTTAAAAGTAGACATTTTCAAAAAATTCTTTACGTAAACGGAATCCACGGTTGTTGATACACTTTTGTGGGTAGATTAGTGAATTTGAAGTTGGATGACGTAATACTAGGACGGTATGTTCCCTGTTAGTAGTAAAAACTAATAATTGTCTAAACAGAGTAAATTAATGTAATTAATAGTAAGGATTTTTATTAACTGGTTGTTGATATTTACGATCGAATTTTTATTAGTTTTTGTTGATGTGTACATTCAATATAGACTGCATTGATATAGCCATCTCGCCATATATTTTCATAGAATGGATAGGTTATGAATCAGTAGCTATGTGGATATCCACTTACAGTTTGGAGTGCAAGGTAACAGGATCGAGACACGATGTAAATATTAAAACAAAAGACCCGATACATCCATCAGATTAGTTCCGAATAGGATGAAATGAACGTTATGGATCTCTCCAGTAGCGCTTTGAAGGAAAATTAATGTTCTTTAAGAATATCGTATAGTAGGTATTTTTATTGGCCACTTTTCAAAGCTTAAAGCTTCTAGGAATTTTCTATTGTGTCATAAGTTAATTGTAGATATTGTTATTTTTTGCCACATCTTGTCATCTCTGTACAGTCTTCGGTGAATATACAATGCTCAGTTTGTAATCCTTTTTAGCACAACTACTTCCTAACTGTATAATCCCCTACCGAAATTTTGATATCTCCGACATTCTGTTTGCTTTTAATATATTTCCTGCAATCCAACACTTCATTTAGAAGTGTTGGATAAAACAGACTTTTCAAAAAAGGAGGCTGTTGTAAAATGAAATCAATGATAATAAAATCACCAGTATGTTGGTTATGTGTAATGATAACTGCTCTGAGTGTTATACTTACGTAATAAAAGGAGTTTTGACATACCTTTATTTAAACCAATCTTTAGTAGTTACTTAAATAATTTTCAGTAGCTAAAATAATATGATTAATTAATGTTGCAAGTTATAAGTCGTTTTTTCCATAATCTGATTCTTAATTTAAAAAGTAGATTAGCGTCATCAGGGTTAACGTGTTAAATAGAAACCGTTATAAGATACTGAACTATACTGAGTTATTGACCAAAAGTTACATACATAATGATAACACATTAATAATAAAAATAATATATTTGTAAGGCCCTCAAAGATTGGAAAATTAAATTTCTGAGATTTCGTAAGGTAGTGTAAGCTAATTCTTTAGAAAACAAATGTAACGACTTCATACTTGTAGAAGAGTAAGGTATGTCTCCATGAAATAACGGTACTAAGTTAAACCCTGATTGAAGTCGTGTGACCATTGGATGGCCGTTTCTTTCTACCATTGGTCTCGTCAGGAGTGCGCATCATTAGCGCTTCACGCAGAAGTCGAACTCAATACCTTATGGCTCATGTGTGAACACCTGATGTCTAGACCACTGAGCAAGCATCCAGTGGTGTTAATATTTAACCCCAATCAATCCACAATGCTGAGCGACAATCTTTCATTGTCTTTATTAGGGAAATGTCCCGAAAATTTACAGCATTTAGTGGCGACTCAGTGGCCAAAAGATTAGGCGTTTGCATGCAAACTCAAGTGTATTCGGTTCGATTTCTGCATGGAGGATTGTAGATGATCACTACTGAATAGTCCCGTATTTGAACGAAAAGACTATCCAGTTCTTCCAAGTTTTCAATAGTGATCTAACATCAATCGATTCATGATCTCTATCAAAAACCTTAACATATTCCACGACCACATACTTACAATTGATTTATCAAATTTATTCATGTACAAATGAAACAAATAAAATAGAATACCAATGATTATTTATAATAATAATAATTTATTCGAACCCAGGACCTATCAGTCTCGCGCGCGAACACTTAACAGATAGACCACTGAGCCGGCATCTCATAGTGTTTATGTCTAACTCCAACCTGTTATAATTGTATTTTTTTGCTATATAAACGACCCAGCTATCCTTATTGCTTAGTATTCTTATACGATGACACTTGACATGACTCCAAAATCAGAACACGTTGAACAGGAATCAAATTGTATTCAAAATAATAATAAGTGAACAGCAATCCGCAATCAGCAATCAATAGTTTAAATATCGTTCATATATTTATAGTATATACATAAGAAGCTTATGGATTTTTCTGCAATAATATGCCCGGGCTGATTGGTTTAAAATTAACCAATCAGCGCGCAGCAACACCATCATGCATAAAACATGCTTGATCCAATCTATATCCCACTAACACAACCAATCCACGAAGTTGAGCAACTGTTCACCAATTGTCTTCAGTGAGTTGATATCTCACAACAGATGTGGTTTGAACTCCACTGGTCACTGCTTCTCACTAGAACTCCAGGATTTACCTCTCGATGTCATGTACAAATGTAACAAATAAAATCGGATACCAATGATTATTTATAATAATAATAATAATTTATTCATTTGTAATCATTCTCATAGTTCATCTTAAACTATAGACCAATCAAATTCCTTATATGATTAACCAATCATGAATATTTGATAGATTCCTTTTATTTTATTTTATTTTTTCGTTAAATATCATAAAAACCTTTTTTTTTCTACATTAAAAAGTATTAAATTGGTTTTAACAGTTACCAAATAAAAAAACACACTTGGATACTATCTGGAATAAAAATTTAAAAAAAAAAATGAATGTTATTATGAATAGACCGAATCTAAATCAAACATCCCCCCTCAAGAATAATTCATTACCCAAAAATTCATTTTTATTAAATTTAACTAAAACATTTCATGTATCCAATATCTCATTAGCTATATTCATATTAGTTGTCATCTGTATTCTATGCTTAACATTTATTATATTAACTATCTTATGTATACGTACATTTATACGTAAAAAGTATATGCCAAAAAAATATAAAAAAAAGGAGAAACCAATCTATGTTGATGATATACCAGGATTAATGAAACCCAATAATGAATTACATAATACTAATAATAATAATAATAATAATGGTACAATTGAATATTCATTAAGTTATAATATAGAAGAAGAACAATTAAAAATTTCTATTATACAAGCTAATAATTTGGCAATCTCTAATAATAAACAAGAATCATTAAATACTTATGCAACTATTTCTTTAATGAAATATGATAATAATACAAAATTGAATAATCCATTTAATAATCTTGATCCTAATCTTGATCTTAATCTTAATGATAAACATTTAAAATTGATTGGTAAACAATATAGAACTGATATTATACATCATTCTAATAAACCATGTTGGAATCAATCATTTATATATAAATTAAAAAAAAATCAATTAAAATATATTATAATTATTATTGAAATATTTAATTATAATGATCAATATTTAGATACTAATTTAGGTAAATTATTTATATTATTAAATCAATTAGATCATAGTGATTATGCTGGTAAATTTTTTGAAAAAACTGATTGGTTATTGATTAATCATTCAATTAATAATCATCATAATTATATTTTAGGTGAAATTTCTATTGGTTTAATTTATGATCCAAATCATTTAAATATTAATTTATATATATATGAAATAAGAAATTTAAATTTAAATCAATATTTCAATGATACTACTAATGATGATGATGATGATGATGAAGATACTACTTATAAACAAAAATGGATATCTTCATCTATTGAATTAGATATTGTAGCTTATATGAAATATAATAATCGTCTACTTCAAAAATATAAAACACAATCCCGTAAAGAATTAATTAATCCATATTTTAATGAAAAATTTTGTTTTAAAATTAAAGAAAAATATTTAAAAAATTTAAATATTATTATTCAATTAAGACAATTGGAAAAATGGCATTATGGAAGAATTCTAGGTGAAGTATGTATTGGTCAAAATGTATTTCAATTAAAAAGTATTAAACATTGGGATGAATTATTAAAATTCCCTGGTAAATTACATGTTAGATGGCATCCAATTTATGCAATTCCAATAAAACAAAATTCATTTCTATTAGATTGGTTATGTTTTGATCATTTTTGAAATTAATTAATATGATGTAATGACTTGTAAACATCCTTATTCATTGTTATGTAATAGTGTAATGGAAAGTGTTTTAATGGTATTTTGAATTATAAAATACAGTGTTGATAATAAGCTTTTATGTTGTTGTTTTTGTTGTTAATTAGTTAATGTTTTGTGAAAATCTCCTTCGGATTGGGTGATATGAGTGTATAATACACGGGAGAACTATGTAATTTAATTTCATCTATGGGAAAATACTTAAGCAAATTAGAAGGGGGTTTTGTGGAGATTTCAGTAGTTTCATGGATGAAATCATGAGTCAATTAAAGCTAGACGATCAAGGAAAACTTTGAAGCATTGGATGGCCGTTATGAATGATATTTATATGCGTTAAGTATATAATGAAATATGGAACTTGTCCGGTTTATTGGCTACCATTCGGTTTCAGATGATTGAAACCAATAAGCTTAGTTGGTAAAAATTATCTTGACACTTTAAAATCCTCTTAAGTTACACAATTAGCATGATGAACTCAATAAATTAGAAAAGAAGACAAAAGCACTTTAATTGTTAAACTCCTCAATATGACAGTTTTTATTAGTATATAATTCCTATTAAAGTTGTTAGCAATTTAGGTTCTTCTATTTTAAGTTTTCAAATTGAAGGGAATGTTTTTTCGACAAATTGGTTACATTAAATTTATCTCCAGATAGAAAACATATTTCTGCAAGTATATTCTGCAACAACTAATGTGAGGTTCAACATACTTGATCTTAGGAAACTTGTGAGGACTGATGTATTTCAACCTATATCTAAACGTCACTACATAGATAATTTTATCATATAATCTGCTTGAAGAATGAATAGCTTGACGTTAGGTCACAATGTACCTAGTGCATACGTAACTAATATTATAGATAACACTCTAGTTATATTAAAGTATGCACATTGCTACAGTGTTTTCTAACCAAGTACCTAGTATTTAGTAGTTTTACTTGATGAATGAACCTTAGTTATACGATTACTGAAAACCAGGAAGCTTACTTACTTACTTACTTACTTACTTACTTATTTGCTTACTTACTTACTTACTTACTTACTTACTTACTTACTTACTTACTTACTTACTTACTTACTTACTTACTTACTTACGCCTGTTACTCCCAATGGAGCATAGGCCGCCGACCAGAATTCTCCAACCCACTCTGTCCTGGGCTTCCTTTTCTAGTTCTACCCAGTTCTTGTTCATTATTCTCATGTCTGTCTCAATTTCTCGGCGTAATGTGTTCTTCGGTCTCCCTCTTCTCCTTTGACCTTCAGGATTCCACGTGAGGGCTTGTCTTGTGACGCAATCAGGTGATTTCCTCAAGGTGTGCCCAATCCACTTCCAGCGCTTCTTCCTGATTTCTTCCTCTGCTGGAATCTGGTTTGTTCTCTCCCACAGTAACTTATTGCTGATAGTGTCTGGTCATCGGATCCGAAGTATTTTGCGTAGACAGCTGTTGATGAACACTTGTATCTTCTGGATAATGGCTTTCGTATTTCTCCACGTCTCCGCCCCATACAGTAGAACTGTCTTGACATTTGTATTGAAAATTCTAACCTTGGTGGTGGTTGACAATTGTTTTGAGCTCCAGATGCTTTTCAGTTGTAGGTATGCTGCTCTTGCTTTGCCGATCCGCGCCCTCACATCTGCATCTGATCCACCGTGTTCATCAATCATGCTGCCCAGATATGTAAAGGTTTCCACATCCTCCAAAGCTTCTCCGTCAAGTGTAATTTGATTGGTGCATATTGTATTGTCTTGCTTTTCTCTTTGTTTATATTGAGACCTACTACTGCTGAGGCTGCTGCTACACTGGTCGTTTTCTCCTGCATTTGTTGTTGCGTTTGTGATAGAAGAGCCAGATCATCCGCGAAGTCTAGATCGTCAAGTTGCATCCTGCCTGTCCACTATATCCCGTGCTTTCCTCCAGTCGTCGACGTCTTCATGATCCAGTGGATCACCAGGAGAAAGAGAAAGGGTGAGAGTAAGCAACCTTGCCTAACACCGGTCTTTACTTCAAACGAGTCGGTGAGTTGTCCTCCGTGGACGATTTGGCAGTTTAGTCCATCATAGGAGTTCCGTATGATATTTACTATCTTCTCAGGCACGCCGTAGTGTCGAAGAAGCTTCCATAGTGTCGTCCTGTCCACGCTATCAAATGCCTTCTCGTAGTCGATGAAGTTGATGTACAGTGATGAATTCCATTCGATTGATTGTTCCACAATGATCCGCAGAGTTGCGATTTGATCTGTGCATGATCTATCCTTACGAAATCCAGCTTGTTGATCTCGAAGTTGGGCGTCCACGGAATCCTTCATCCTGTTTAACAATACTCGGTTGAAGACTTTCCCTGGTATTGAGAGAAGAGTGATGCCCCTGTAGTTGTCGCACTTGCTGAGATCGCCTTTCTTTGGTATTTTGATCAGAAGTCCTTTTTTTATTCTGTTGGTACTTGTTCTTCGTCCCAAATCTTACTGAAGAGGATGTGGAGTATCTTGGCAGTTGCTGTTACATTTGCTTTCAGTGCCTCTGCCGGGATGTTGTCTAGTCCCGCTGCTTTGCCACTCTTGACTTGTCTAATGGCCATGCTGATCTCTTCAATTGTTGGTGGGCCAATACCAGGAAGCACTGGGTAGCTATTTCATTTTATTATAAGATGCCTCACCAATAGGTATTCACAACTTCTAGAGGTCGAACCTAGATCATTCAGGCCATCTGGGGAGCGCACACTTTTCAGACCACTGAGTTGGGATCCAATAGGTTGCATTTCTAGCTTCAGTCAAGGTAACATTGTTCAGTTCAAATAAAATGTATCTGAATCCACCGATATATATAGATATATATAATGTTCTCGGAAATAAGATCTATAGTTTGAATCAATCCGAATGATAAATGCTCATGGAATCCAAGCTAATAACCCCAAAAATCCAAATAAATTAATATCGAGAAACAGAAAAACTGAACAGCTTAAATTCATTTGGTATTGTTTGCTTGAATCTTCCCATTGATATTTAAGACGGCATTTGATCAGTCTCTTATTGACTTATATGCATTCTATTCGAACTACCTAGATATAACCTTAAGTCACTTGCATGCTAAGGAAAAATGAATAGTGACTAGCAGTGGAATGCACTACTGGCGTTTCGCCCTATTTGGGACTCGTCAGCTGAATGTATCTGACTCTCAGAGTTGATGTTCACAAGCAAGCGGCTATTAGGGCTCAGTAGCTGAGTGGATAACGCGATCGCGTTTGAAGCGAATAGTACTGGGTTCGAGTCCCATAGTGAACAACAACTTTGATATGGAGGAATATCCATTTGATCAGTCTCATATAGGACGATATGCACATCTTGTTTTCCACTGCTAGCCACTACCAATCTTGTTTAAATATTACAATGAATGGTATAAGTCTAATTCTGTACTAAACTAATTAAATGAATAATCATAAAAAAATAATTTCATATTATTCATCTTTCAAAAATATGATTATAAATAAATTACCCTGAAAATTATAAAAAAAAATTAGTCATGATGGCTATCAGTCCTCAGTAGCTGAGTAGATAACTTGATGGCATTTGAAGCGAATAGTGCTGAATTCGAGTCTCGGAGTGAACATCAACTCTGAGATGCAAGTACATTCAGCTGACGAAATGCGCATCTTGGTCTCTACTGAAAACCACTATCAATCTTTACTTAGAATGATTGGACAACTTGTTTAACTATTACAATAAATGGTATATGTCATATTCTGTATAATAAACTAATTTCATATTATTCATCTTTCAAAAATATGATGATAAAAAAATTACCCTGAAAATTATAAAAATTTAGTCATGGTAACATAAATCAATTTGGTTTTTGTTTAACCAAGAATCTGAACATGTTTGATTGAAAAAGAATAAAAACAACCACAACAAGCAGTGAATGAATGATTAACTAATAAATCAGTACAGAATTTTTTTTCCATTAAATTACAATATCCATGATAATATTTTAAATTTTTATTATTCTGGACAAAACTACCACAAAGAAAAACAACAAAAAAACAATTTTTTTTTAGAAAAATCTTTTTTTTTCTTTGTTTCTCGCTCTCCCTCCCTCTATCTCTCTCTCTCTCTTGCTTAACAACTTAATTATTTTTTCACAAATGATAATAATGTTTGGGTTTTAGATTTGAATATATAACACAAATAAATGTACACACACATACATACATACATACACACATACAAACACACATACACACACAAAAAAATACTAATCACCATGTCCATACATGTAATTTAGATAATATTGAATAGTGTTAGAAATGTATAAATTTGCCAAATTGATCATTGGCCATTTCTTGTTATTTAAGTTACGTTTTATTATTTTTTTTTCTCTCTCTCTGTTTTTTCAAAGATTTTTATGATTTAAATTGTTTTTAATGAAATTCAGTCATACTATGAATATTTACATGATTATACTTACGTGCTTACTTACGCCTGTTACTCTCAATGGAGCATAAGCCACCGACCAGAATTCTCCAACCCACTCTGTTCTGGGCCTTCTTTTCTAGTTCTATCCAATTTTTGTTCATTCTTCTCATGTCTATCTCCATTTCTCGGTGTAATATGTTCTTTGGTCTTCCTCTTCTCCTTTACCTGATTATATATTTAGTTAAATAGAAATTTACTTTACCACATAGTAGAAAATTGGGGTACCTTGCCTGTTGTATGCCCTAATGGTGTTCTTGTGACTTTCGGCTGCCTGATCTGCCAAGGGCGATGGGATAATGTATAATGGTATTGTTGTGTGCTAGGTTCAAAGAGAATTATGTGCTATATGCATGCAAATCCACCCCCTTATTGTTCCTTGTAGAAAATTAAGTAACAGAAACAGGGAACAATTTAATAAAAGTCAATTCTATAGTAATTTAATGTATCTAGAAGAATTTCTATTATGAATAAATTTGATGTTTTATAGAGATTTCATACCGTTATATCTCGACCAGAATTGTGAATGGTAATTTTCGAGGACTATTTATGGACTAATACTATGTGTATATTTTTTATTGTATAGTTGTTAAGTAACTAAACTATTCATATTCGTGT